AACTTCGATTGGCTGCTAATTAAGAGTAGACGAGGCATGTACCTAGAAATAGTCAACTGTATATCTTGGATTAGTACAGACGATCAGACGGGTATTTCCTCTTGTTTTTTTGGTCTCACTGCAGTCCGTGAATTCGCGCCAAAAAACTTTTTGCTTTCCAGCCAATCGCTCACTCTTTTCTGAACGCTGTGATGCTTCATACGTTAATGGTGTCGGGTGACACGTCGCGTTCTCTTTAAAACCATGCTCCACATTCGATTCCAAGGCTACACTGCCTATCTCCGCGTGTTCAGCAAATTCAAATTACATATAACAAATCTCGCAATCAAACACATAATGCACTTTTCCAAGGTAGCCTCAGGATATTTGCTGATAAAAGCCTTTGAATAAATTTAAGAAAAAATATAGCCACATGCGTAGCCACATTTTGATGCAAAGCTTTGATATATTAGCATAATTTATGAAAAAGAAAAATCAAGAAACACCATTAATGCACGATTTGCTTATTTTGTAGACCTACCTGTACTTACATGTAATGTCTACATCGAACATTCATGGAACGATTACCTATCACGACTTATTAACATTGAACCTATAAGTTCTGCAACCTGTAGATGAAGCATTGATAAAAGCTGGAAATCCCCATAAGCACCCCATTCCTGTGTTATTTACCACCCCGCCCCCCGCTTCTCTCTCTCTTTCTCTCTCTCTCTCTCTCTCTCTCTCTCTCTCTCTACCCCTATACGGTGTTCCATGTAGCCCTTCTGTATCACCACCTCTAATGCACGACTATGTTCTTCTCCACGCTTTGCTGATGTGAAATGATATATTGTCAGTGCATAAGTTTTGTTAATGCATTGTCAAATATTGTTGTTGTGAAAGATGATACAGTTACCAATGAATAGTTCAAAATATTTTACCTAATAATGACATTAATAACTCTACATGATTGTATAGTACAAAGGTACATTAAGACACGGGCCTTTGCAGCCATAAGGGTATGGTACCTGAGGAGAAGGGGCCCAATATATATATTTTTCATTTTGTGTTCGGTTTGTTCATTGTAAAATCCTATAGCTGTGTGTTTTTTTCCTCGTCTTTTTGTTGGTATTTGATTATTATTATTGACAGTGATTTAAAGAACTATAAGACTAAGCCATTTTATGTTTCTTTTAAAGTGCAACAACTAAATGAGATAATTTAATCTTATATTTTCTGTACATGTATATCGTTGCAGGAAACCTGTCTAAATAGATAGAACTATTGGTAGAGGTCGATGATAATCAATGAATGTAATTAGTATAATCAGTTCTATAATTGACCCATGAAGTTACCGAGGGGATAATACTTCATCTGATAATTTCAGAAATATTGCATGAGCTGCCAATGCAATGTTTAGATTTACAAGAACAAAATGTAAGATTAGAAACATGGTGAATTTGTGAGTCAAATAAGACTTGCTATTTCTGTGAAAATTGCAATCATCTTACGTATACAATTATATCATTTGTTTACCCAGGGAAGGCTCATCAGCATCAATCCTGTTTTTCCTGAGGTCCCTACAGTTATTGGTACAGCAGTAATTGCCAGGTGCTCATTTAAACCTGGGTGGAGAATGACAAATGTGGACTAATGTCTCGAAAAAGGAAGTTAGTGCCGGGCTGGGATTCGAACTCTCAACCATACCATGACACTTTCATGATGCCTTCGGAGCAAAAATGTGCTGAATCTTTCTCGCCCTTTCGGTTGCATTTTTCCAATCTCTTTTTAGGGGGGTTGGGCTCTTCTTATCGTTGTGACATCTCTTTTTACCTTTGTATCCCCGGGATTCGAGGTGGATGTAGATTCACTGAGCGATAAGTGATTTTGACAGGGAAGATTGGAAAAGACATGTCGGGGTGTTAACGAATAATTAACCTCCTCCCTAGGATAAAATTCTGTTTCCGCGTCTTTCGGAGTTTAGCTGGGTCATCGGGAGGACTCCTGGAATACATTTCATGGCAGTGTTTGCATATGTGAAGGAAAGAGTGGTTTCAACCTTGGCTCCATTTCAGAATGAAAACCAATTTCATTCACAACTCAAGACAAAATGGTCATGGTCATGCGTCGTATTAGTCAAACTATCGACCTACTCTTAAAGCGAGCATAGAGTTAAACCTTGTCTTAAAAATATTTGTCTTACAAATTTCATCATGAACAAAAAATCCTGCGTTAAATAAACGATGTAGGCCTTCTTATATTCTCTGCTTTATAAATTATTATAAACAGTCTCAAA